CTAGAAGTTTGCTGATTAAAGTCCATTTTGGGTGGAGAGAGGAAGAAATTTTCAAAATTTGTCGAGCGGTGTTACTACTTCTGTTTTCCAAATGAATGTGAGGAAAGCTGTTAACCCTTTGCAATTTTAACTCGAAATCCAAAATAGTTTTCCTGGTCTGTAGTATATTTCCTTTTTATATGACCTAAAATTGAATTGTAAAATTGAATTTTGTGACTCATACGATAGTTACACTTTTAACGAGTTATTAAATATAAACAGATTTGATAATGTTAAAATTATTTTGAAACGTGATGTAACAATTTTTAATGTCGCCTTAGAGGGTTAATGGATACGTCGGTAAAAAAAAACTTTACGAAATAACAAAAATGGCTATATCGTGATACGAGGCCGCAATAAATGATATTGTTATTGATAAAACGATTGAAAAATTTGTTTCTAATAATAGGATTTTTGTAAAGGCTGTTAGATCATTTTGAAATCGTGTACGACAGTAATAATTAGACTGCGGATTTTTTGCATTCATGGCACAAATGGCCAGGTGAAATTTAGAACAATGAAAATATTAACAAATTTTAGCGGCAATGTATTACTTTCAACTGATCGAAATTATTGAAGAAAGAAAACAATGTCTACTTGACTCATGAAAATTATTTTGATTTTGCATATAAAAATCCACAATCTAGTAATATCGCATAAAAATAATTAATTATTATGATTCCTTTCATAATTTGTATTTGTTTTAAATACACAGACGTGTTTAGTAATTATAAAAACGAAGCGGCGTCTTTTCTAACTACTGGAAGATAATTCTCTTATCTGTAACAAATTGGTATTGTTAAGCTTGTATAATACAATTCAAGCAATATACGATATTTATTGGAACATTTAGTATCGTGTTATACGACGCGACGGTTAGTTGTACTTCAGTTGCTGATTTAATACAGCAATATCATTTGTTATAGTTCGCTTTATCTGCAAGCTTAACAAGAATCTAAATTAAATATACGCCTGTCATATCGAATTCTCTAAATCTCTCGAATAGACGTGATTAACTGCGCAAACGATCTACATTTATAAAATACGATCATGTTCCTGACTTGTATCTTCTGTTACAAGGAAACGTAGGAGGCTTTTCTCGATTGTTATGAGTTCCATTCGGGAGGGATAACATCACGTGCTGCTTGCTTATTACAGCGGATACTTGGGAATCTGTAAAGCATTGTACTCATAGATAAAATCATATTTATTTGGTATGGCTATAGATATTGCACGATCCATTTTAAACAAATTTGGTATGGCTATAGATATTGCACGATCCATTTTAAACAAATTTGTTACTCTTCGTAATTAACAATTTATTCGAACAGAAAATGAGAAGTAGCAATAGAGAAATAACAATACGTGCCGGTGATTTTGAAAATTGTGTAAGTCGTGGAACCAAAAGAATTGAGATTTTTATTTGTTTCATGTTACAACCATCTATATTTCGATATTATCAAAGTATTTATTAAAGATAGCCGTCGAGTAAGCAACGACATGAATGTATCACTTTTATTTTTATCCACGGTAACATCATGTTCATTTCGATAGTGAATTTGGTGTAAGTCACAGAGTCGAAGCTTCACTTTTTGCAAAATTTGACAGCCGAAAATAAAATTCTCGGTCATTATTATAAAAAAGAAAGAATATAAAATACATGTAATAAACAAAATTACAATATATGAAAGTAAATAAAGTAGTAAAATATATGAAGTAAATAAATAAGTCCATTTGTTTGTCGCGTTATTGAATAAAATGCACTATTTTTATATATCGTAAGTCAATGATTAGGATTTACTATTAGTTTTGAAGGTGATGTAAGACATTGATGTTTCAGAAGATATGTTTCCGTGTGCTTGTTACTAAACAAAATTTACAATGATGTATGTATAACCTTGGAAAATCATACAATTTATAAAATATCTTGTCCTATAATGGAAAAATACTTTTCAATACACTTGAATGCAAAGGCCTAAATATCTCGAAACGAAATATACACGGTGTCCCATAATTATGTTAACGGGAAAGGGGTGATTCCTGAGATCATTTGAAGTAACTTTTTCCTTAACGAAAATGCAATCCGCAGCTTTGTTTGCGAGTTATTAACGAAAGATAGTGACCAATGGGAGGCGAGATCAGTTGGTGTGAAGCGGCCCGGACGAAGCCCAGTTCCGCTGATTGGCTCAGTCGCCTTGCGTCAACTGAGCTCGCCTCTCATTGGTCACTGTTTCTCGTTAATAACTCGTAAATAAAGCCGCGGATTGCATTTTCGCTAAGAAAAAAGGTACTTCAAATGACCTTAGGAATCGCCCCTTTCCAGGTATTAACGTAATTATGGGACCCCCTGTATTGCTTACGCCACTTTCAAGATCACCGGCACATATAATTTATGTTTAGTATACATCCGTACACTATCTTGCTTTATAAAAACGGTAGGATGTTAGAAAATTATTATAAATGTTAAAAGAGTATTTGTTCTTTATTCGTTCGAAAAAAAACGTTAAAAGTAAGTGTGTGATGAATTATTTATTGACAGAATTATTATATAAGGATAAGAAAATGTAAATTCATACCTCCAGAGGAACTTTTCCGTGAAACATAACTTCGAACCTTTCCAAACCATCCATTGTTCAATCTTTCGCGAAATTTTGGCGTAGTAAACGTGTACAGCAAAGGGTTAACCGCGCTATTGACTGGTAAAATGAAAACTACCAGCCACGCATGCAAATCCGCTAAACAGAAATACATTTTGCATTATAACAACATACGAAATTTATTTTTAAACAACAATGTAATTTCATTATAAAATATTTAACACTGAACCTACCAAACTCTAAAAGTAACTAACGTTTATTCCTTTATAATCTTAATCTTTACAATCTATTTTTGAATTCAGGTCCAATTATTTTTTATAAAAGGGTTTCTATAATTTCAATAATCTTAAAATAAGAAATGTGGGATCGAACCTTCTTAACACTAATTTTTAACTAGGTTTTGAAATTTACATTCCAATATATTTTAACTTTCTAGTTTCGGTGTCATTAATTAAATGACTTTGACATTGTGGGAATTACCTGGTATGGGATACTTCATCAGTGCTCTAATTTTGAGAATGATGATCGGTGCCCAGCAAGCAGCGTCTGTTAAGACTATCAAGAAAAATCTCAAAGCGAACTCGGAATCACGAACAGACAGAGAGCATGCGTGTCTCGTTTTCCAGATGCTCACAAACATCCCCGTATAAACATAGCCGATCGTAATCAATCTGCAACATACGTTGTCGCAGATATTATTTCATTTATTATTTAATACCAAATAGAAAAGGCTCATGCTTTCTTACCCAGTAAGATTCAATCCTAAGAAAATGAAAGCTGAGTACTCCCATCCAATCGAATACGGATCATCAATGTGTAAGGGAAAACACATTCCATTGACGCCATAAAACTTTGTGCTGCTTCGCCAATGAATGACTATTAACAAAGCAAAACAAGCTTGTTATTACAACTGTTCACGATTGATCTTTTATTTCGTATAAAAATGATATGTACAGGGTGAGTAACTTGCACACCACAAATAACTTTTCAATTGTACGTTTTCTGAAAAATTGTTAAATACACAAATTTTTCTTGAATTTTGAGAAGTATCTAAGTGTTCTACTTACTTTCGTTCCATGGAATCATATAAAGTTATTTGAAGTGTGCAGGTTACATGATTCAACCTGTGCACATATACAGGGTGTCCCGAAAATGTCTCGCGATCCGGAAATAAGAGGTTCCTGAGATCATTTGAAGCAACTTTTTCCTTTGCGAAAATTTTCTCCGAGGCTTCGTTTACGAGTTATTAACGAAAAACACTGATCAACAAGAAGCGAGCTCGGCTGGCGCGCGGCGACCCAGCCAACGAGTGCGAGGAGCCCAGTTCCGCTCATTGGCTCGGCCGTCTCGCGCCAAATGATCTCGCCTCTGATTAGTCACTGTTTTTCGTTAATAACTCGTAAACGAAGCCGCGGATTGCATTTTCACTAAAGAAAAAGTTGCTTCAGATGACCTCAGGAATCCCCTACTTTCGGATTGCGAGACATTTTCGGGACACCCTGTAGAAAATCAATGCACATCGTGCAAAAGATTGACAATAATTACGATTAAAATTATTTCCCGGAAAAATTATGTGACTAAGAAAATCAATGCGGTGATAGCGTGAAAAATTCACGATTGTCTTCATTAAAATATCTACATATTTTTATAGAGTAAGTAACGTGAAATAAGTGACCTTATATCGAATAAATAATAGTTTCGATTAAAGAGAAATTATATATTTAGAAAATCATTGTAATAATCACATGAAAAATTAACCGTTTTTATTAAAATATAAAATATATTTATTTATATAGAGTAAGCAAAATGAACTAAATGATCCTATATCAAATAAATAAACTGCGGACTTTATACATTTAGAACAGAAATAAGTTGATCAAATATAAAACAGTAACAACATTCGAGGGATTTAAAATTAAACCGTCGGACTACTTTCAACGTATTAAAATAAATAAATAAATAGTAAATAATTCGCATAAAAATCTGCAGTGTAGAGATAAATAATAGTTCGCGATTAAAATCATTTCTCAAAGAAATTATTCATATAGAAAATCAATGTAACGATCGCGTGAAAAGTTAACAGCAAGTAAAATGAAATAACCGATCTTATATAAAATGCATAATGTAGCAAAGAACAAATATGCCGCAGTGTACACAGAAATGATTGAATTAAGTTTCACTAGTTTCGAAGGTCGGTTTGAAGTTACTGCTTCTGAGTGATTACGGTCCAGTTTCGAGCGATAAAACACGACACGTCGCGTTTTATTGATTCACAAAAAGGCAACAATAAGATAATGATGTCAAGCTCGTGTTACATTATTATAACCGGTGCGTTAACTGACAGCCCGACATATTGATAGGTTATTACATATTATCGAGGATCGTACAGCCATGCCTCGTGGACAAATAAGAAGAATCAACGAACCTGGTACAAGCGCTAGGGTAACTCCGATGATCCATATGACGATCATCGTCGCGGATGTCGTCTGCGGTGTCATGGTACGGTGACCTTTCAGAGGTGCCGCGATTAGCATATATCGCTCGAGCGACATGAACGACAGGATCAATACTGAAACCTTGACAGATCAATTCTACTTCAGTGCGTTAACGAGCTAAACTAATGAAGTATAATTTCGATATGAAACGTGTGTTGTATATTGCAAATATACCAAGTGGTTATGGTGTAGTTAGTATATAGTTAGAATATAATTAAAAATAATGCTGAATACGTGCATATATGTTTCTATTTACACAATTATAATTATAATGTATATTAATACTATACACACTATACTTATGTGTCTTATACGTGTCATTGTTACATATTTACATATCTGCACATATAGTAGAGTAACAATGTCTTTTACGAAGTACGATGCGAACATAAAATTTAGTTATTTCTTGAAAAAACATTTTTTACAAAAGGAAATATTTATATCTCAAAGACCAACACAAGTAGTGCGGCAATTTGTTTCATGTATGTATATACATATCAAAGTATCAGAAATCAAATTATCACAATATTTCCATATGCTTCAATTATTATTGTTTATTCTCTAATTTTTATTTAACCATTTGAGTTCTTTTTTAGAGGAGCAAACAAGTGAAAAATAATGAATTATACATACATTCACGTTACATACATCATTTAGTGAATATTCATATAGAGGGAAATCTAATAACAAAATTCATTTTTTTTTTGCTCAGATTAATTCAATAGCGCGTTTTCATTTTAAATCAGACACTGGGCCTTATTGACCCCTTGACGCTCATTTTTGTGTGTGTCACGGACAATCTAAATTAATAAAAAACAATTTTAAGTCATCTGAACTTTATGACATTCGAAACTGCGTCTCATTTATCTGTGCATGCACAAGATCTTCTAGCACGAGAGAATCAAACGGCACCAATTGTAGACAAAAATTGTTATGCTTCAAGGTTATGCGATAATTTGTTTATATTAAATATCCTTTGTGAGATTTTGTTCAAATTTGTTTTCTACTTCACGTTACATCATAGACAATCTTCTACCTAACTTTGGCGATTTTTAATTTAAAGGAGATGATAATTTATAGGCTGTGGATCTCTTCGTGAAAATTCGCATTTCCACGATTTATTTTCAAAAAATGTGTAGTAAGTAAAAGTATTTTACATTCACTAGAAAATTTCTGGCAACGCAATTAACTTTTGTTAACCTGTAATCGCAGACGTCGGAATATTGTGACGTTACCGCAGACGTGCGGTTTCGGAAACCGCTATATTAATTTCTCAATTAACACCATCCGGAGATATTCTTTTACTCCGTTTTAATTGCTTTCACAATATAGAAGGCCTAAAATTGTAGTGTCACATCAATGTATTTCAAATTGGAGCTACTTATGTTTCTGTATTGGGCTATGTTTAGCAAGTATCGGCCTCTGTTGGAATATTACAAATTTTAAAAATCTTATAGACTCCATATACATCAGTGATTACTAGTCAATGTGCTGATCTTCTTGCACTTTACAAACTCGCACGTGCCATAAATGTGTAATATATTTATAGGATTGACAGCACGACGAAATAATTGAATACCACAGAGCGATTATACCAATTGGGTACAGAGATCGAACTTTCAAATGAAACGAACTTCATATTTACGAGTTTCAAGACTGCAATTTATTTGTGAGATATGCTAACGAATAGACTGCGGATCTTTATGCATTAATGGCATATGTAGAGTTTTAAAATACAAGAAAACGTATTTATTAACAAGTTCTAATAACATTTTTATTTCCTTTTTACAACTAGTAATCTTATAGTTGATGAAAAACTTATGAATTGGTTAATAAGATATGAAGTTGATTTCATCTGGAAATTCGATCTTTGTATCTAATTGATACATCATTTATACCTAATAATTATCATGTATTCCAAACCAAAATTCCAAAAGGTTCGAACTTTTTAATACATTCACACGACACACAAGTATAATATGAAGCAAATCGCGTGTACAAATTGTGTGTGCACATTTTATTGACCGCTAGCATTTTTAAACGAAACGAAATTTTAACATCCTTAGAACGCTTTAAAACATCTGCTATTAATTTAAAGCTAATAAGTTGCATGTAATTAAAAATAATGCTGAAAGGATACTGTGTACTTCTTAAAAAAAATTTGTAAGTTCGAATTAACACTTGAATGACGAACCTTCTTCACAAAACTATAACTGAGCACATGCTTAAGATAATTTATAAATTTCTTTTTAACCTATTTTTTTAAGGTACTCCTTAAGGACACGTGAATATTTCTACGTAAAAATCCAAATTAATTGTCAGAAACTGGATAGCGACATAACATCTATACGAGTGATAATGTACGATTAATGAATAAATGGAAGTATTAAAAGTAGCATATAAAACATGCTGTACCTCCAAGGACGTCATCGTCAATATTCCCAAACAGATGCAGAACCAGGATGACATCCAGGAACTGGCGACTTGATTGTATTTATCGCGGAATATCATGTCAGTCACGGCGATTATGAACAGATAGATTCCCATTAACGTGTCAGAGACTGTAAAAGGATTATGCGACTCCCATACCACGCCCATGCGAGTCATTGATTTATGATCGACGATATTAGGGTCAAATATGGCCGATCAATCGTTTTTGCGGCGTGGAACGTTTACAACGTGTGGTTTCTTTTTATGATAATACCCTATGTCCATTTTGCATCTACTTATGCATCACACTCTACGAGCAGAAGGATTTATTGGGCGACTGCAAAAGATCTTGACAACGTCTTTTATTAATGATCGATCGCGTAGTTCCGGTTGTTATTCGCAATTCTTTCTAGAAACTTTGGAATCTCTGTCCATAAATATTGTTCGTCCCCGAAAAGTGAATTCAATCGGAATAATATAAAAAGATGCACAAATTTATGCTTTCAGGACATGTATCAATTTTGCTGATTCAATAGCAAAATCGAATGTGGCGAACATGGAGGTCATTTGAATTGTAATTGTAATTAAAATCCAGGTTATATATTTTCACGTTCTCTGTTATGGATTTTGTCATGCTTTTAATTTGTGATCAGGTATTTTACTAGATTTATATATTTTCAATAGTTAAACCGATAATTGTTTCACCAAAAAATAGCTATGACTACTTGCTTTTAACACTGAACCTACCGAACTGGTCAAAATGGCCGATTTCGCATTGCGTTTTAAAGTTGCTGACATTAGTTGCTGACATCCTTGATAGAAAATAATTGAATAAATTTGATAATCCAAGCAAATGTTATAGTAAAAAAGGTGAAAGGTTTAAATAAATACAAACTTATCATTTTCCTGACATAAATACTTTTAGTGCTCGGTAGGTTTAGTATTAATTTCAAAGAACGAAAAATATAATTGTTTAAAGTAACAATAGTTATTATTCGACTGTGGATCTTCATACAAAATGAAAATTGTCTATAATAATTATAAGACACATGAGTTAGTTGGAAATGTCTCTCCTCTTTTAATAATAATTATAATACATTGAAAATATTCTGAATATTTAATTCTTAATATTCTTCATCATGAATCCTTGAATTCTTCTAATGCTTTTACAGTTATACAGGGTGTCCCAAAAGTCACTCGCAATCGAGAAATGAGGGGTTCCTGAGATCATTTGAAGTAACTTTTTCCTTTGCGCAAATTCCATTCGCGGCTTTGTTTATTAATTATTAACGAAAAATAGTGACCAAATGAGGCTGACCAAATTTGCTGGCGCGAGGCGGCCGAGCGAATTAGCGGAACTGGACTTCGTCCGGGTTATAATCCACAGTCTAGCTATAATACTTTATAACTATACTTTACTTTAAAGTATATCTTAATACTGCACTTCACAATCATCTAATGATACAGTATGATGTCTTCTTGATAATGCATGTACGTTTTAGAATAATGAAAATGAATAAATTCAAGTATACATTACAGTTCGTTGCGACTAACCAGCCAGGTTTCTGATGATGATAGACAGCACGCGATTTTCGTCCTTAGCCGTAAATCTTCCCCAAAGAACTAGCACATTCCCCATAAAGGTAAGACACGATATCACCCACACTGCCGTTCGTAGTAAAGTTTTATCCAACAAATGAAACAATGATGACACACCTAAGTAAAAAACATGATAATGTTAAATTAAAGCACTCGATGTATTTATTCAGGTTACAGATGTTTAGACAAATCCATATTTTCATCATTTATTTCTCGGCAGGTAAATAATTTATTTTGTCTACGAATTACTAAACATTAAAATAATAAAAAGAGAATATGTTATATAGTTTTTCTAAACAAAAGGATCTTTTGAGAAAGTTTAAATTAAATTTGTTTTCACAAATCAAAGTTTGAATTTCAATAATACATTACTTACAAACTGATATAATAAATAAATTGAGTAACGGTATTGAATATTTTTGATTGGCTAATAAATATTTAGACTTGGCCCAGTTCTCTTACCGTCGCTGATAGGTCGACATCTTCGTGCCTTCGGTGCATAAGTCGCACAATAGTGAAACTTTTTGAAATATCTAACAACACATCAATTGATAAATTACAGAATTGTATAGAAAATCAATTTACATCAAATAAGTTATTATATATTAACAGAGTCAATATATTATTATTATATATTATTATATATTACTATTATAATTAATATAAGTTAATATGATATATTGATTTAGATTATATTATAAGTTAATATAAGTTATTATATCTATCTATAAAAGAATGTTTATAAATATATATTAATTTTTTATGTTATTCATATGTGAAGAATCCTAGTCTGACGAGAAACATCCTTATCTACTTACACGAAATCCAGTTGATGGAACACGTCGAACGAGTTTTTCTCCAATGTATCCAAGTTTATATCCTCTAAATCGCTAAAATATACAATATTAACAAAATGTATAATTCAAGTTAGCAACTGAAGCCAGATTACTGCTTTATTTATTTAGAAAGTTCAGAAATAATTCTTAGTTTTTTCAATATTCGTCAGATTACATCAACATCAACGAAGTTCTGTTGATGCAGAATAATATTGTTAACAAACAAATATGGCATATTTACTTGATCATTATGTTCGCATAGAACAATATGAACAATATGAATATAACTCACAGAGAACGAAGTTCCGTCAACGGACTCAACACTGCCATTGGCAAATTATGGAGATGATTGTAACCCAACATTCTGTAACCAGATGAACAACGATCATAAGAAATGATCATGAGAAACGCATTATGTGAAATTTTATATAATATACATGAAGCAGTGAAAGTGAAAACACGAAAGTGATGAACAAATTTTCCAACAAAATTTACTCAGCATTTAGGTAACGGTAAATTATGCTAATTTAGCAAAACACTTTTCATTGAACAAAAGATAAAGGTAACTACGATTTATTTTTACGTAATCATATAACTTTTTCTGAACAAATCAATGCATCTTTGTATCTTCTATAAAAAAAATACATACAAAAATACATACTTAAGTCGAAAATCAATTAGTATAGAAGTTATGGTTTTTGTCCCAAACACCCATACAAGGTGGCCCAGCTAAAGTAGGCCACCCTAAATGTCTCCGTTATTTTTGAAAATACTGAAAAACTTTATTAACAAAAGTTGTTCAATTCAGGGTGATCTGTAACATGAAGGTAATCATCTTTTTGCAATTGAAGAATTTTCACCTTCACTGTTTTACTTATAATTATGAATTTTTGTATACACTGATTTTTTTTATTAAACACTGCATAATTAAACACTGTTAATTCCCAAACTTCATACAACACGTTTTTCTCCTTTTGGTCCCTAAATAAAGCTCTCGCAGTTTGGCGGGAAAATCGTGAAACTGCCTGTATAATATGCACTTTCGGACACAGCAAAATCCACATTAAAAATTTCCAAAATCAAAGTTAAATGCTGAACTAATAATTGTTCGACATACATTTTTGTAGAAAATATCCAGCTGCATCAACTAATGTATCAAAAAATATATGATTATATAATTAATTGTGATCCGAAATATTCGAGTGACCTTTAGCTGAGGTACCCTGTATAAACGAAACACTGTGCCGCCCAAAGAGCTTTGACCCAATAAAAAACCCACATCAAAACATAATTTCATTAATTTCCCTATGTAAATTTAAATATAAAAAAAAATATAAAAAATATAAAAAGAAGAGATCATCACCGGATACACTTCTTTCGAATAATAATCTTTTTTTCGTGTTGTCACTTCATAAAACTGAATCACTGTGTTGAAATCGGAACAAAGACATGCTCGATAGATTGAGAAACGATCGCTTTGTAGAAAAATCCAATAATCACTTTGTGTGTAGAAACAAAGAGAACGTTCACGCTTTGTTCTTCAAACATTAAATAATTCTCAGGATTACTTTTCACGATTCTGATGGCGCGCAGAGTCGCGCAGTCTCTTTATTTTCGTACGTGACGCACGAATAAATAAAAGTTTTAACGTCGACCATACGTGACATTCCTATCGTTTGAATTTCTAACGGCGTGTTCGACGGTAAATGTCGGGTAAATACGTTGCAAGCACGCGCGCGCCAGAAGACTTGTATCGTTACAATACACGTGGAAGCCCAGTCTCAGAGTTACTTACAGCCTCTTTAAATTTTTCAGCGGCCGGAACACATCCCGAGGAACGCTGGCGATTTTATTAAACGCCAAATCACTGTAACAAACGTTTGCTTGCATAAGATATCGCGACTTACAACTAACTTTTCAACAATGCATTTTTCGTAAGATTTTAAACATTGCGATAGCTCACAGGTCCTGCAGTTCCTCCAGATGTTGAAACGAGCTTTCCTCGATCGTCTTTATCGTGTTGTTCTGCATACTTCTGCAAATTTAGGGTAAAATCGTTCCATGTCAAACGTTGACCACTTTTTCTCAGTTTTCTACATTTATTTACGTACGTACAATGATTTTAATGCTGGACATCCGGCGAAAAGGCTGTTCGGTATTGTCTCAAAGTTATTATTATCTAGGTCTCTAAAAATGTATTATCGAAAGTCATCGTAAACGTGATTTGATATTTGCGATAAGTCTGGGGTCCTTAGTTAAAATGTCTTATTTTCAAGATACATTAAAATATTTGGAACATCGCGTGCCTTTATTGTTTTCACTTGTTTAAAAATGATTTTATTAATTTATAGTTTCATTTTTTGAATATATTTTAATATTAGTCAGGGCGATTTAACTAAGGAGGGCAGAAATAGACTACGGATTTTTATGTTATTAAATAATAATTACCTACGCTAATTATAAGATGTATGGAGGCTACATACATATTTATTTCGTTTCTTAATTATTTTAATTAGTTGAAAATAGCATCAACAGTATTTTTAAGTCTCTTAAATGTTTTTACTGATTTGTATTTGATCAACTAATGTGTATCATATTTTCATAAAATCCGTAATATAATGAAAAATATAGGGTACTTACATCGTATTCAATGCTGGTAAATAAGGTAGCTTCAGAGTTTCTGATGTTAATTGATTTTCTCTTAAATCTCTATAGTTTGTTTAAAATTCGTTAAATACAGAACGTTTCAACTGACTTATATTATATAAATTAGCAATTAACATTAAAATTAGCAATTAACACAAAAATATTATTTCGTGAAACTAAAATTCTGATTTTGAAAAATAGTATACTGTTCGATTCAACTTACATGAATCCTAACCTCCTGCTTCCATCGAAGTCTGACAAATCTGCTACAATGATTTTGTTCGTATACGCCAGCAGAGATTCCAAACTAATTAGATCCGTAAAATGGCCGTGCAGTAACTTGCTGATTTTGTTATTGTGTATAATTCTACGCGTGTACATGGTGTTAATTAGTTTCCTGTGTAACATTCTTTATCTAATTCTAAATAATGACTAACAAGCAGGTATCATAGCCGTTACAATCAATAAGATACAAATTGCTGCACAAAGATTATTATTTTGATTCATAATAATTACGTGTGACCGAATTCTCGTTTCGTTATAATCATTACTGATGAGGGAAATTTATTTGAGTTATAACAGCAATCGTTAGACTCATAATAATAAAATAACAAACACGATTGTGTTACTGTCAGCACAGCTTTTTAAATAAGTGTTATTGGAAAATTATTATGGAATAGACAAATTTATTCTTCGCACGTTACAAATGATACTTGATATATGTATGTATACACGCAAAGGAAAACTGCATCATCAAACATGCAGGTAAATGTACCACCTAATTTCTTTTAGATGAAGCACCAAAACTAAAAAGCTACGATAATAAAAGGAATGAATCTTAAAATAGTTGTACTTACAGCCAATACAGTCTAGTTAAATTTGCGAACGCCCCAATTTCTATTTCATGAATGTTTGTGTGATCCAAATATCTAGAATACAGAACTTTTTTCTCTCGACAGTTTGCACTTAAACGATCTACAATGTTTATACTAAAAAAAACTAACGCTAGAGAAATCACCTTGACACTTACAATGTATTTAATTTTGGATAATGTACGAAAGCTTCAATTGGTATGCGTTCAATGGAACTATCGTATAGAGATCTGAAAACGTGTACATTAATTAAACCAATGAACAAGTATTATTGTTAGTCATATCTATTCTGCAGACCTGGGAAACTTCGTTCGAAATGAAACTGCGAAATAAATATTTGGAATAATTCATTTCGAAAATAATAGGAACTTCAAATAATGAATTATTTCGTTTTTCGTTTATTCCAAATATGGCAAAAGAGATCATTCTCTGAATAATATGCAACAATAGAATTTTTTTTTAAATAATAGAATATTTATTTTCAGAAACCTTTGTATCGGTTTGTTTCAAGCAAAAACCCCTCTTCAAGAAGTTCATCTTTAACCCTCCGAGTACCGGGATGTACGGTGCCGTGCCGGGATCATTTCCGACCCACGTCGATACGTGATACGTCACTAATACTGTCGCATTCACGGTTCCTCGAGATACCTCACGTGCGCGGCTTCGAACCGCTTCGAGACAGGTATAGCTACGCAAACAATTGTTTCCGCCGCAGAAGCGGTGAAGGTGATGGTGAGAAAAGCCTGGAACCATCACGGGTCAACAATGACACTGGATAGTACTAGGAGGATTAATAGTTTTCTTCCGGATCCATCCAATATTATTGCGAAAAAAATTAACCGTTCCACTAATGCGGAAAATTGAAGAGGGACGTTACTCTTCCAAAGAATATTCTTTATTTAACATTGTCAGATCGATTCTTTTATCTTGCAGAAACGTTAATGAGGATGTTAGAATAAACCGGACTCGGATCTGATTCCAAGAAGAATTTCACAATTATCTCAAGTAATTGTTTCAAAGAATTATGAATTGAAACAACCTGTCATTTAAAATAATATTTCAAATAATGTTATTTCAACGTCGAAATAATTATGAAATAAAATAACATGATTAATTTTACTAACGAATGTAATGATACAAACACAAGATCCAGCTTCATATCAACAACAAGTAGTTGACAATTCCAACATAATCAATGAAATAATAAAAAAATCCCTTCAATTCTAACCTCCTAATGAGTGCTTTACAAAACGAATTATACAGACACCAAAATATAGCCCCTGCAAAAGTAAACCCGATAATATTGAAATACCTGAAAATAACAACATGGTAAATGTTAAAAAATATATGGCATAAGCGAAACCAAGAATTACTTCGTTTAAATTTCTTATACCTACATGAAGTCAGAGAAAATATATTCTCTACCAACCCCGTTGTATTTTTAGCGAGAAGAAAACAAATCGTACTAAATAAATAATCCATCCTGGACCTGCTCTCAAAAACTGCTCTCAAAAATCACATTGTAACAACTGTGACACTGAACTTACAGTTAAACATTTTCTAATAGATTGTCCATCGTGCAATACCAAAAAAAAGCCAAAATGCCAACACCACCAAAAAATGCTTGGACAGCTATAAACTCACAGCAAAAGTTATGTTCTATTTAGAAGAAACTAAATTGCTTAGCGAAATTATATAGGGTGTCCCAAAAGTTATTCAATATCAGGAAATAAGAGGTTCCTGAGGTCATTCTAAGTAACTTTTTCCTTAGCGCAAATGCAATCCGTAGCTTTGTTTACGAGTTATTAACGAAAAAGAGTGACCAATGAGAAGCGAGATCAGCTGGCGCGAGACGACCGAGCCCCAATGAGCGGAATTGAGCTTCGTCCGTCGTCTTATGCCAGCCGAGCTCGCATCTCATTGGTCAGTGTTTTTCGTTAATAATTCGTAAAAAAACTGCGAATTGCATTTGCGCTAAGGTAAATGTTACTTCAAGTGATCTCAGAAACCCCACATTTCCCGATTTTGAATAATTTTTGAGACCCTCTGTATAGTCACTTAAGGAACCTACATTAAAACGATAATCTTGAAGCCAGATTATTCAGTGTATATAATCTAATGTAGAAACTATTGTATACGATACATCCACATGTAGCCCTAGAGATTGTAATCCCACAAGTAGTCGCTAATTGCTATTAAGTAGACGCGAGAATAAAAAAATAAATAAATAAAAAGTAGAAATAACATGTTATTTGAAATAATATTCTAAATAATGTCATTTGAACTATGCCCAGATCTGCTATTCTGTCGTGTTTAATACTCAAAATTGCGTACAACTTGCTGATGTTAGGCGTAAGATTTTTCGGTATTTCAGAATAGTTATTACATATTGCACCACACACAATTTTTGTGTAGGAGCATCTGGCAGGAACATCGTAAACATCTACAAAAAATTCACAATATCGCTATTGGAGTATTACAGTTTCCAGTGCATTTTCTGTCGACGTACTGACACTTCGACCACCGGTCAACGAAATTAAATAAATATTGTATTTTACAATTTATGCAAAAACGGTTTCGCAAACGTTCGAACAGCAGCTGTGCTTGTATTTGCAGATTTCATGCACAAGAGATTTCAGAGAATATCAGCGCTAAATACAATAAATACAATATCATCCAGCGGTAAATACAATAAATTATGCGGCTGTCAAAGTGTTCAGTAATATCTTGCGCCGGTGTTCGGTAGATTAAGTACTTTACCGCAAATTTCTTCTGTAACGTCTTTCATGATGGTTATGTTCGGTAAGATACAGTCCAAGCATCCGTTGAAATCGTCTGCGTGTAATATGACAGTTGAGAAGTAAACGATTTTTACAATAACCGTTGAAATAAACATTAAATATATTAGAATGTTAAAAAGATCCAACTAATTTTGGCTTTTCCTGTGCGCTTTGATAACCAAAAGAATAAACGTTTTCAGTCGTACAAATAATGTAAAGAATTCAGACCTGAACGGAAACATTGTTGAGTGAAAACAAAAGTATTGAAAATATACACTTGTTTGTATGAAATAATATTTCAAGATTTATTTGACGTCATAGAGATAAATACATATATTGAAAGTAATTATTTATGTTGCAGTAAAGAAAAGTATTCATTGAAATAGTATTTTCTTAAGAGATGTGGAAATAATTGTTTGAAATAGCATTTCATGTGTCTAAATTTCTATTAATTATTTGAAATTCTGTTTCTTACGGTTAATATTTATTAAAGAAAATAAATATATAAG